TGGATGGGATAAATGCAGAGCACTAATTCCTAGTATGGGTCACCATACTTGGCCACATGTCACGTCACGTTTTACGTCACGTCACATTTTATGGAGGACTGTTTCTTTATCCTGGTAGAGTAGACTACAATGCCAGCTGTTCTGACTCACAGACTAAGTACATATTTTATATTTAAAGAATTTAAATATGATGATTAAAACGCGAGTTTTGGGCAGTGTAGAGCAGCGCTTGTTGTTTATCATTTCTCCGATCACAAATGCAGACATGGTTTTATGTTAAGCTCCGGCCTGACAAGGCATCACAGTATGGCAAGGGGCGTAACATTTCCGTCACACGCTTGAGGTATTCGGCCAATCAGTGTAATGACTTTATGTAATTTCAGTGCTTAACTCCATTAATGAGTGTAATATTTCATGTAAATGTATATGATGAAAAGAAAACAGTTTAAAATCGTTGTTTACTTCATTACTTTTCTTTCTCCAGGAAAAAAAGTCTGTACGCATGGGTCAGAGTTTGCGTGCAGGTGCGCAAATTTTCCCATCAAGTTTGTTTTTATAAATCCCACCTTTTGCGCAGGAAGTGGCGTACGCCTCTTTCAGGGCTGTCTTTGTGCGTACGCAAGGGTTATAAATGAGGCCCCAGTGGTCTCATTTATAAAGCTCTCCGTAGATTTCATCCTAAACAACGGTTATAAATGAGGCCCCTGGTCATTTTGTATCAGGATCCAAAAAACTGATGCACAAGAACATGGTCTATCACAGTATAGCTCTGATTTCATCTGAAATGGCTGTTCTTGGTTTTGCTCTTCCTCGACTTTGTATACGCACTCTTCCTCTACCTCTCAGATTGATGGATTCACCCATGCCATCTGTGCACTTTGAACTGGCTTATATTTTGTACATTCACATATTTAGAAACGTGTGAACAATTTTGAATTATTGTGTGTAAACAATGACAGCCGTGTTGCAGTTGTGCTTAACTTTTGCTTTCTTGTGTTTAGGGTTTGGCATCACAAGTTTATCACAGTGCAAATTGTGTTTTAGTGAGTGAGAATGTGTTTAGAGTTTTGCAAAAAGAGTGAATGAGATCTGCAAACAGTGTCTGAACTGCCTGAACTTGTTTGAGGTTTTGCAGAGAGAGTGATTTATTTGACAAATTGGTTTAGGCTATTGAGAATTTGGTTCAGAGAATGGGGTTTAGTGTCTTAACAAATGTGAAAAACTGTAACAAATTACCACAAATGTGTTTGTATCAGACTACGACCACACAAATTACTGTACTTCACACAGTGTATATTATATACACTGTGTGAAGTACACTAATTGGTGTGGTCATAGTCTGGTACAAACACATTTGTGGCATGATTGTTAATACATGAAAGTAAGGGGGCTAATTTCCAGTGGCTTTGCAATGGCCATATAACATGTCTTGGTTCACTAAAAATGTCTTGCCAATGATGACATCCCCTACTTCTTCCTCTCTGACACCCAAAGGTGCTATCACCCGTACTGCAATGTTGTTCAGCACTGAAGTCACTGTTATCCATTTTAGGGAGTAAAGAACAAACCAACATTTCATTGGTAATTGTGACTACAGCACAGTTTTCACTTCTCTAATGTGAACACTGTAATACTGGCAACACTGTGAAAACTGTTGCTCTGTATACTTGTCATTGCCTTGGCGGGTCACTGGATAACCGCTGTCTCCTTTGATACTGAAAGTATTTCTCCAATCTCCATCCACAGGTGAATTTAAGAAAATTAAACATTGCAAATTGCAATCAGATGAACAAAAATGTGCAGCGACGCATTTCGAGCACAAGCCCTTGAGGAGATTTCAAGCGGCCTCATTTGAAGAAATAACTTGTATATAGAAATAATCAAAATGAGCTGATGGAATTAATTATTTGCACAAATAAAAGTTGAGTGCAAACTGACTAGCATGTTAAAGGTCATTTCAGTGGGCCGAATGCTGAAAGATTAAACTGAAAACAAGTGCTGCATGTTTAGTGCAGGAGGGTAGCAGGTAGTTTTTTAGAGCTTTCAGTGGTCACTTATTGAGGGCCATTTCTAAAAAGAGTCATAAACTTTCCTGTTATCATTTAAAAAGAACATCATCTGAGCAATCTGATGTAAATATAGAAGCACCACTGACCTATGAACATAAAATAAAACTGTATTTTGGATGCCTGCAAAGATTCATGCTTAAACATCTTACCACATTTTTTTTCCAATGTACTTTATATCCCAATATAGCAGATGTGCTCCACAATGACCAGAATAAAAACTGCTGACTGCTGATGACTATGAGCTTGTAGACATGGATGATGTTGATCATGATGATGTAAACTCTGACTCTGATCAAGATTACGTTAATGTAGATCAGAATGTGGAATCAATGAGTACGTTTACATGGATATCAGTAATCTAACATTTACCTTATTCTGAACAAGACGATATTATGATAAAGGTGTTTACATGTGTTACCTGCTCTAACATTTTTCCATAAATCTTTAGTTTAATATTTGGTGATTTCTTCTTTTTTGAGAAACATATCACTTTAGTTTTTTCTACTGACAGTCTAAAACTCCACTTATTTACCCATTTTTCCACTTCATTAACTGCTTTCTGCATACTACTTTCCACAAATACTAAATTTCTTCCCCTTTTCCACAAGGCACCATCATCCGCATATAAAGATTTACCAAATCCTTGTCCAATCATTGAAAATATGTCATTTATCATTATGTTAAATAAAACTGGGCTACACACACTTCCTTGTGGGGTCCCATTATCTGTTGAGTAAGTCCTAGAATAACTTGTTCCGACCCTTACTTGTATGGTCCTATTAATCAAAAAATCCATAATCCAATTGTACATTTTTCCTTTTATTCCCATCTTGTCTAATTTAACTAAAAGTCCCTCTTTCCACAACATATCATAGGCTTTTTCCACATCAAAAAACACAAATTAATAAATCTTATATTCTGATTACCAGTTCTTACGTCAATAACTACTGCCTCGTATTCCTCATTCACTTTAACCTCAATATATGCTACTCCTAATTTAATGAATGTTATTACTCCCCCTCCATTTCGTTCATTCCTATCTTTGCGTACCGCTTCGTATCCTTGAACCACAAAGCTTAAATTAGGCTTTAACCACGATTCTTGTACACATATTATTTGAGGTTTAACCTTAAAATCATCAATCCATTTTTTGAATTCTTGTCCATTTGATATTAAACTTCTTGCATTCCACTGCAAGATTAAAAATACCATTAAGAACCTCCACATACTGCCTGGGGGTTAGTAGCATGCATTTTCAGTTTCTCATTTATCTGTTCTACTATTACTCCTTCTACATTCAGATACTTTTCTGCCGCTCTTAAGATTATTCTTGTTCTTTCAGTTCTACTCTCAGTCTGTGCAGAGCAGTTAACTACTTCTACGATGAACGCAACAAATGCCAACTTATCAGTCACGAACTTATCGGCGTTTTCTTTTCCCTGATTCGGACGCTCATTTCTCCTTTTTGAGTCTGCAACTGTTTCTTCTGCTACTTCCTTTTTTTTCTTTCATCTGAACTTTCTTGATTGCCTC